TATATGTTTTTTCTTTCGATTATTTGAATTGATTGTTTGTATAAAATATATTACAAGATTTTTAAACGTAAATATGCATTTTCTTGTGATAAAGAAAACATATGTTTTGCCTTTCGATTACTTGAATTGATCGTTTGTATTAAATACAACATAAGACTTTTAAACCTAAATATGCATTTTCTTGTGGTGAACAAAACATTAATAAAAGAACTCTTCGAAATCAAATGGATGAAAATAATTAACAAAATATTAATGAAGAAATATTTTTTAAATGCAAATCTTCATCGTCTCGAATCAAATATAAATAATTCAAAAATTAAGAACAAAGTATTTAATTTGTACAGAGTTTGATTGTGCCCCCAACTCAAAATTTTTGCATCTGCCCCTGCAGCTTTTTATTGAGAAGTTGGATGAAAATGAATAAAAATGATGGTTTGTGCAATCAAAGATATAATTTAAAATGGAAATTTCAAATAAATAAATAAAATAAAAGGTAGAGACGTTTTCACAGTAATAATGAAATGTATGGACATTATGTACTAATTACTCTTTTAGTAATTTTTTTGGAATTCGTTTGCACTCTTTTAAAGATATAATTTAGGATGAAAATCAAAGATATAATTTATGATGAAAATTCAAAAAAAATAAAAATAAAATAAAATAAAAGGTAGGGACGTTTTCACAATAATATGAAATGAATGGATATTTTGTATTAATTACTATTTTAATAATTTATGTGGCACTCGTTTGCACTCTTTTTAAAGAATTGAAATTATGACTACAATTAGCTCTTTTTTTTTGTCCTTTTGGTTTTGTTTAAACATAAAAGTATATTCGTTATTTCACAGTTTTTAATTGAGAAATTCGATAAAAAAAAAAGACCTTTTGCGCATTAAAAATGTAGAAATAAGAGTGAAAATGTCAAAAAATGAAAGATAAGTATATTTTCCACAATTATAGTGAAATGTAAGGATATTATGTGCTAATTACCCTAATAAAAAATATGGAAGTGTTAAGAGGTCAAAAAATTGGTGTCAAATCAATCGGGTTTCATAAATAAAAATAACAATCATGTTACATGTACATTGTTTTTTTACATTATTTACATTATGCCACATGACATCACACCATTTGACAGTTTAAAAAAAAATCTTTTATCACCTACAATTTTTTGAAAACATGGATGATGTCAAAATGAGTGTACATCAGAGAATGTACACTTAGTATTGTGAAAACAACAATTAGTTTGGCAGCCTAAAACATTAAATCATATTCCCACGAACTTAACAGGATAATTTTAAGTATACAAACATTTAACATTATTTCTTCTTTAGCTTTCTGTCTGCAATTAGTTTGGCAGCCTAAAGCATCAAATCATACTCCCACCACAAACTTAACACGATAATTTTAAGTATACAAACATTTAACATTATTTCTTCTTTAACTTTCTGTCTGCAAAAGCATGTTCGTAAGGTATTTATAAATAGTTTAAATTATATATAGATAAAAATGAGTGATAAATAAATTAATAATATTTGTAAATTCANTTGTAAGCCCGTGCAGTGTCTATCTCATAGAAGCCCACCAATCAAAAGCCCTTAATACATACAACTAACAACCTTACGACTCTAACGAATTCAGACCAAAGAATTCTTTTTCCAGCGAAATATAAAATATTTGTTCTCGTCAAGCAAATAAATTCGCTGAATTTTCGATCATCTAGTTCAAAAGGGGGACTTTAGAGAATGACCCTTAAAACTTGGACTATTTTGAAACATTTACTATAAAACTTAGGCGATACTGTTAGTTATGCTTTAATTACGTGTAAAACCGTATCAATCATGCCATAAACAAAAACCCAAACCTCGATCCTCAAACTCAAAACTTGACAAAATAAAAATACTTATGACTTTTAAATTTGTTCAGTAAGGGGCTTATGTATTTGAGATTTTAGGATTTTGCTTTTTTTTTTTAATTTATAAGATATGAAATCGTACCGGAATCGAGCTATTCTGTTCTGGTTTGCTTTAGTTCTAGTTTCATTACTGATTGAAAAAAATAGAAAAACATTTTAGGAAGAAGGATCGAAGGTTGATGCTTCAATTTCAAAAATCCAATTGACGGCAAACAGTAGTTATTAGTCTCCATACGAGAGTTGGTGTATAAATTGAAAAAAGAGAGAACATTATAAATGAATTATAGTCTTCAGTTTCCACATTTAGAAATGAAAAATCGAAAGCACATGATCTTTTTGTCCTAATTTTCGATTAAATTTTGCATTTTTTTTTAATGTGAATTGTTATTATATATAATTTAAATATTGAGTTTGGTTCTTGGTTTTAGAACTAGAACCTAATAATTTTTAGTTCTAAAAATCAAAACCACTAATTTTTTTTTTTATAGAATCCAACTGAACCGCTATTTTTTGTTTGATTCTGGTTTGATCTGGTCACTTTGGCGATACTATAAAGAATTGAATTGTGAGATAGGAATACAGAAAAAAGAAAGAAAAAGACTAAAAAAAATAATGATTCATAAAAATGGAGGTTAATTACCTGAATTATACTAACCTTTGCGTAAAGTTTCCATCGGATACTGAACTTTTAAAAATTATCTTGTTAACCACTCAACTTCATAATTCGTTATTCTATCCATCACTTAGTTTTTAAATCGCTAATGAAATGGACGCCAAGTTAAAAATAAATAGCCACGTACGCAATTCCGTTAGCCACATCAATAAATCCATCAATTTCTTAATTGTGCGTTTAGTGTTTGATAGATGAGATTACATTTTGCAAACTTCAATGACCATTTGCTGGCACCATAGACAACAAAATTACTAGCATTATTATCTATTTATAGCACATTTCGACTAAGTCTAAAAAATTTACTAATTAAGTAAATAAGTAACTTTTGAAATAAATAATCTTGCATTGGTAAAAGTTTGAAATAAATAAGTGTTATAAAATATGAGAGAATAATGAATGAATAGTTGATACTATCTAGAAGTCTAGATGATTTTCCTCAAGTAATAAAATATTTTATTCAAATTGAAACATTTATCGAAATCGTATGTATAAGATCATTGCTATAATACAAAAAACATACTTCAATTTTGATTCTATTACTTTTCTTCTTAGTTTTATAATGGTATTTACTTTTGAAATTATTCATTATTTTAGGTAAATTTAAGGGAAAAAGTCAGCTATCTGTATGTGTTTGTGAAAAGAAGTACCTGAAAATGACGAAAAATGACAAGTTGAGATTTGCTGTCTACTCAATTAATTATTGACTCGTCATTTTGATTTAACATGTCATCAATTGATGAATCGGTGGTGAAGTTCATAATAGTAAATTTGAGATGATATGTTAACTTAAAATTAGCGTGTCAATAATTAATTTGGTTGACAACAAGTTGGACATAAAATTTGGACAGCAGATCTCAATTCGAAGATGGCTAACTTTTTACTAGACTTAACAAACATGATTTTAAGCACGTTTTGTCATTTTTTGTGGTATAAGATCCTTTTAATTCAAATAATTGAAATCAAATTGTTGCAATTTTGTTTTATTTGTTTGCCTAATGGTCATAGCCATGGGCAGATAATTATGCCAGATTGATATTTACCAAAGACGACTTAATAAATAGAAAAATAATTCCTATAACTAATACTAAATAAAATATTTAATTTTAACAAGGAAAATGCTTGATATACATCAACATTTACATGATCTATTGATGAGGTGTCAAAGGAAAGTGGATGGATTTTTTTCTTCGATGAGATTTTGATCCAATTAAATCTTATCACATCATGTGTTGGTAAATAAATATGTAAATTATGATATACATGTAACACGATTGTTTTAACAAATCTCATTTTGCTCGTGAATAGTGTTACGCGTGAGCTGCATGTTAAAGAAGACGAGATCCTTTTTTTTAAGCAATCTTACATTTATTTATATTTAAATGGGTATTTATCTTAAAAATATTTATGATGTTTGATTAAATGATATTTCTTTAAAATATGGTCGTCTTTTGGGTGATATTTACAAAAAAAAAATATTATCTTTATTTTCCTCTAATTAAATTTGAATTGAGGAAGGAATTAATTACGGCGATGTAACGACGTATAATAAAGATAGAAGAGATAATGAAGAAGTGAGGTGGATTAGAAAGTTCTCAATTTTCATGATTTCGACAATTCAACTAATAAAAAAGGACGATGAAACTCATACTTTTAGTCCCTCATTTGGTGGGATTAAAATCAGATTTTATTAAATTTTGATAAAGGATGATAAAATGTGTTGTTGAAAAATTGTGAATCCCATGAAATATGTTATTCAAATTAAATTTCGACTTTAACTTAAAATAAAATTTAGATTTTAATTCCTATCAAACAATGACTTATCATTATCTGTTTCATTTAGTAATCTGAGGGCAGGTTTGACTCTCATTATTGCAGAATGAGAATGAAAAATATAGTCGTTATTGAGTCCCACACAAGAGATAAAAATTAAAAATTGATGACTTGATGTGATGGATAACGGTCCTTGTTTTCATATTTATGGATGGAAAATGAGAAACAAATGGAGACTAGATATATTATTAAAATTTGAATAAATTCCAGTTTTTCTCTTTGAAGAAAAGACAAAAATGGTATATTTTGGCATGTGCAATTACTTACAAAAACATAGTTGTAAATTTTCTTTAACCATTGGTGATATGAAATATAAATTTTCTTGAAAATACTGTTTTGACTCAAAGCAACAAAAAATTAGAAGGCAATACTCCCCCATATTGTAAGTAAGAAAATGACAAAAGAAAGTATTCCTAAACTAAAGTTTCTAATTTAGATCATGCTCCGAGAGAGATTGCGTTAGCTCCTCATTGTGCCTTCCTATATAAAAACTTATAAATTATGACTCGTTTTATTCTCATTTCATCATTATTCACAGAGAGAGAGAGAGAGAGAGAGAGAGAGAGAGAAGGGTAGAGGAAAATGGAGGAGGAGATAAAATCAAGATTCAAAAGAATTTGTGTATTCTGTGGGAGCAGTTCTGGCAAGAAACCAAGTTATCAAGAAGCTGCTATTGAGTTGGGCAAAGAACTGGTAACCTATATGAATTCCAAATCAGTATATACCTATAGCATTATCTTATGCATAAATTTAGACTGTATAGATATTTGCTTTTGATTTGAATTCATCAAGTTCTTAAAGAATTCCATACTGTTCATCATTTATATGCGGATATGCTTTTTCCTACGAATTTTTGTTTTCTTTATTCATTTTCTTTCTTTTCTTTATCTCCTGGTTAAACTGAATGGCAGATTTATACACCTTAATGGGGTCTTCTTTTGTTGAAGCTCAGATCAGATTCTTTCTTTCTTAATCTCTCTAGCTAATGAATCAGAACACATTTTAACATGGGCACTGCGGCAGATGGGTCTTGGGGGGAAAATCAGGTTTAGGGTTTATGTTTGGTTTAGCATAAGGAATTAGGGGGAGAAATTAGAAGCTAGCTGCAACCTGGCTGTCATTTCAGACCAGCCCATCTTGCGTGATATTAATTAGTTTAGTTTATGGGGTTTAAGTTTAGTTGTGTTATAAAAAGTAAAAAAAAAAAATGCCAACCAAAAGTGCCATCTTGATATCATGACTCTTTTAAGCGTGTTTTTCTATTACCAGACCTTCATCATTTTTGTTTCATGGACGTATAATCATGTACAAATAAAATCATTTGAATAACCATGCTCACAGTTTTCCATGATTTTTGAGGCATCCTATGAATTATAATTTATGGGTTTCGTAATTTGTTGATCAAGTGTTTGTAGTATGCATGTGTGATGTGTTTAATCTGACGCGTTTGGTGAATTCCTTTTTCATTTTTTTCAATGTTTTTTTATTTTTTTGAAGGTGGAGAAAAGTATTGATTTAGTCTATGGAGGTGGGAGCGTGGGTCTTATGGGTCTTGTTTCTCAGGCAGTTCATGATGGTGGGCGCCATGTTCTAGGGTATTGTTATCTCTCTCTCTCTTAGACACACACACACACTCTCTCTCTATTCAGATATACATACACATGATATACATAGATATCTCTTAATCCCTCTCTCCCACACAATATGTAGGGGAAGTCTGGAATGACAAGTCCTCATAATTCTCATCTTTTGTTTGGTCTTAAGGAATAATGAAAATGGGGAAATCTTTACTTCTGTCCATGCAAGTCTGTCAAGGTTATTATTGATGTTTCTCTTACCATCCAAAGGCAGACATCATGGGATCAAATGTTGGTTTCTGATAATTTCACATGTTTTTTAACCAACAATCTCATTTGTGATGTGTTTAATGTTCAAATTCTGTACTGAGAGCTGGACAATATAATGAACTAGGTTTTCTAAGGCCTTTTTTCTTCTTCAATACGCTCACATCTAAAATTGGATGTCCTTAGCCAAACATAATTCTTGGATTTCAGAGTAATTAAATATTAGCAGTACCTTAAAGAGCTTTTAAGTAAGTTGGATCAGAGTATATAAAGTGAACTGATTTGGATCAAAAGGTATAAAAGGTTTGATGGAAATTGTTGTGGCTGATTGCAATTTTTTTCATGTCCCCTTTATGTTATTCTTTCTGATAGGGGAATAGACAATAAATTTGATATGCAGAAATGACACAAATTTATGGGAATATTTTTTTGTTGTTTTCGATGCTCAAACTCTACTTTACTTGCAGGGTTATTCCAAGGACTCTCATGCCCCGGGAGGTATGACTAGAAACTTTTAATCGAACTTTTTCTTATGTTGAAAATTTTCATTTCACTTTGAATTACAATCTTATAGAAGTAATACATCTAGGCAGTGTTTTAAATAGCGTAAAACGTAGTTAGATATGGAGGTGAAACTTCAAGTTTTACGAGCTTAAACGAACATAAACGATGCCTAGGCTTAAAAAATCGTTTTCCTATTTTAATTTTTTAATTATTTCATCTAATAATTAAAATAGTACATATCAAATATCTAAAATTATAAAATACTATATTTACTTAATAATTCCAATAATTAGTCAATTATACAATTTCCAATTAAGTAAGTCCTATTGAATAGATTTATAAGTTCATACATGCTTTCGAAGTTTTCAACAAAATAACGAGTCTCAATATCGTAATTACATACGTAGATAGTATCCTAATTTTATCTTATTTAACTCTTTATTGAATAAAGTCATTTTTAACTTTTGTACAGATATAATTTTTTAAAAATTTGACTTAAAGTCTAATAAAAAGTTTTTTGAAAAATAAAAAAAATTAATAAACTAAAGTTAAGTAAAAAATTTCAAAACAAAAAAATAAATAAATATTTAATAAAGCTCACCTAAGGGAGATGAAAGAGAGGAAGGAAAAAATTCAACCTTTTAGGAATTGAAAAATAAAAAAGTGTATGGGTGCGAAGTGTGATGTTTTGCCCAAACTTCGAGCCTAGGCACCTCATGAACAAGCTTTTTAGAACACGGCAACTAGGAGAGCAAAAACCAAATAAAATGTTCTCTGAATGTTATATTTTTTGTAGATCTTGAAGTCTATTTCTAAAGATTTCAACTATAGTGGTCAAAGGCATTTAAATATACAACATATTGTCATCTAAACATATATTTATCACAGATAACAGGGGAAACTATTGGGGAAGTACAAGCTGTATCTGATATGCACCAGAGGAAAGCCGAGATGGCTCGACAAGCTGACGCTTTCATTGCCCTTCCAGGTATACAAATCCCATCTACCTTTCTAAATCAATTAAAACTACACGTCCAAGATTTTTAAAGCTATTACTTTATCACTTTCAGGCGGTTATGGTACACTCGAAGAGTTGCTTGAAGTTATTACATGGGCTCAGCTCGGAATCCATCGTAAACCTGTGAGCTACGTTTTCACCTAGTTTCAGATTGCCATGTCGATATATTCGTGACACAACGTGAAACAAAGAATTGAAGCAAAAACCTTGAGAACACAATTTTGGAATCCACTAAATCACGAAGAAATAAACTCCCCAAAATTTTATTAGTGTAAGATGATCAAAAACGAAAAATTAACCCTTTATTTATAAGGGGTTACTTAAAAACTTAATTTAAACAAACTAAAATTGCAAAGAATTCGAAATAAACTAAATAAGAAAAATAACACTAAACCTTTAAAAGCAAATTTCGACTTCTAAACGAACTCGGATGGCTAAAATCTATCTTATGTCACAAGAAGGCAGTGAATTCTACTCGTTTTATCATTCTCTTTTCGAAATGGTATTATAAGTCCAAATTAGAGCTCAAACGCAACAACTGTACTATTGCCCTTTTTTTCCTTTTCGATCCAATTTTTTCTTCAATCCAGTCAACCATGTGTTCTACATCAATTCATGTAAAAGGCATTCAATTCATATGTGTTTTTGAGTTTCATACGTGCCACTGAAAATAAGTTCGTTAGTCAAAATTCCTTATCATTTGGATTTGTAATGGTTCACATGGAAAGATTTGCAAGATTTTGTTTTGAAATTATAGTCATGTAACATGATTTGAATTTCACTCGCAGATCATCTCCATATGAATTGGAGAAAAGTCATAATTAGAAAAATGGGGATTAGTGTTGGTCAAAAGTATACATTTTGTACGACATTAAGTCATATAATGTGCTTTCTTTAATCTAAATTTATTCACTAATCTAATTATATAAACATATGCAGGTGGGCCTGTTGAATGTTGAGGGTTACTATAATTCCTTGTTATCTTTTATTGATAAGGCCGTTGACGAAGGTTTTATCTCTCCAACAGCTCGAAGAATTATCGTGTCGGCTCCGACCGCCAAACAGTTGGTCAGAGAACTTGAGGTACTAGATTCCTTGTTCAACAACAAAATTAGCCATAAAGAAAGCAATATTTATGCAATTTAAGGACAAAACAAATGTAGTTTAATAATAAACTCATCTACTTAAATAAACTGCCCTTTGTATGAATTACCTCACTATAGAAGATGGATAAACTATTTGGGCCTATTCAAGATGTGAGCTCTTGGAAACATCAATGCAATCTCTAGAAAACTTTTATCCGTTGAACAACTGTTCTTTCAATCGGTGTTAAGGGATTGAATCTTACATCGAATAAAAATAAAAATATAAATCAATTTATAAGAATTTGGACTATTTCTCTTAATAAGGTTGACATTTTAAGATGGAACACAAAATCTTAACATGGTATCAGAGTCCATTAAACTCTAATGAGCAATTCAATCTTATTAAAACTCCAAAAAGTAAGCATATGAATTTCAAGATTGATCTCCTCAAATAAGCCACCATCTTGCGGGGGCGTATTAAGGGATAAAATTCCACATCGAATAAAAATGAAAACATAGATCAATTTATAGGAGTTTGGACTACTTTTCTTAATAAGGTTCACCATTTAAGATGGAATTCCAAATCTTAACAATCGGTACCTTCAAATTATTAAGGCCGATTTTATTATGCTCGACGGATGAATCTTGTAGTCAAGCTCCCTTGTAACTTTGCAAGAAAATAATTTGTCATTTTTTTTTCAAAATCCCCTAAGAATGGAAAAACTTATTTACCTTATACCATATAATTTATAGGGAATTGTTTAAAAAGGACAATGTTGGAGATGGCGAATGAAAAAAGGAGTCCACTTTCTAATTCAAGCTAAAATAATTTTTAGCTCAT